TTATTTTTAGGCTCTCCTATTATTGTCATAAGTATATGCAAAATTTATTTTGGAGAGTTGAAAATAGAATGCCAAATTGATATTTCGACTATGAACATATCCAGTAGTTAGATCTTTGGGGGATAATATTATCAAAGGAAAGCTATGTTGGTAGCTAAAACCAATACTAAATATGTTTTCATTTTCAATATACAATACTTAAATACATATTTAATTAATTTTAATGGAGAGCCACAATATTTCACAGTTTATGGTTTCGTCAACCTTCTTTCACATGTTAAACCTTGAATAAACTCATGGACTCCCCATATATCGTGTAGAAATATAATATATTCAATGTTTAGTTAGTCATACCTTCAAAAGCCACAAGGCGACTCTCTAGAGCTCCGGCACTTTGTTGCTGCTAATTAGACACAAGACATTTGAATACTTGAAAGCAGAACTGAACTTCCACTCCAGCACAGAGCAGCGTTTTCCGCTACGTAAGAGCAACGTTCAAGGTTATCCCCACTGAAAAGTGCGACAACCAGACGGAGCGGACCGATCCACAGCACCCAAAAGCCGCAAAAAACTAAGTTTTAGAATCAGTCAGTCGCAGCCACAGCCACAGCAACAGCAGAGTGAGGAAGCTGCGTTCGGTCTCAAAAAGCAGTTTGAAAAACGGGTTCTCTCTACTCTCCGCTACTCTGCTCTCCTCTCAGCTTCGATTGCGTGCAGCACACGGCTTGACCTTCGCCTTGAAACGCCTTGTTGCTCAGATGGGAGTACAAAAAAACCTAGCGTATATGAAAGATCTAAAAAGAAACTGAATTAAAACAGCTGCTGCCCCTCTAGCGATAAATTTGCATCTGCAGCCAGTTTGGAGTACGCAGTGGCATTTCCTGTCACTACTCGTACGATTATAAATAGGTACACATATACTCGAACTTGAAATTCAGATGTTCATACTGTAATGGGTTTTTTAACTGCAATTTAGCCATGAATGGCGGACACTCCTAACTGGCACTGAAATGGCAGTGCAAATATTTTTTTATGGTTTGCTTTGGCAAGGGGAATGTTCTTTTATGAATTATAGCTTGACTTAAATGATGTATGTACATTCAAAATATGCAGGGAACATTTAGCCATAAACGTAATAAGAAACTTACCAATCAATTCTCTGAATTGGCTTCATTTTGGAATTTTTTAAATTTGACTAAAAAGTATGGGAAAATATGATCTACATTTCTGCTTTACAAAGAGCGATTGTACAGTACAGTTAGAAGCTGTATGAGATATTTATAGCCTGTATCTATGGATACATTTTCTGAAGAAACCTCATTACAAATCTCATTTCACCAACAAAATCATCTTCACTTTCTCGCTTTACCCAATTAAATGTAAAAATGCAATCATTTTCATCTTTAAAGCTCACCCGAGCACACAAAGTAGTGTTTGATGCCAAAATCTAATTAATTTTTACAAATTAAATCCATTTTGTAGTGGGTATATAAACACAACAAAATTATAAATAAATATGCCCTCAAAATAAATGTTTGCTTTGCTCTCTGTCTCTCTGTTTTCTATGTAAAAATCAATCATAAATGAACGGAATAGGATGGAGGAACGGAAATATGTACCTTTCAACGGGGGTAACATAAATGGAAAGCAAGGGAAAAACAAGAGGCGTCCCCCTTCGGAAATGTGTAAACAAAATACACGAAAAGTTAATTAAATAAAATATGTGTGTATACTCGTGATATTGTTGGACGGAAAGTGTGAAGACTCTACTCTGTGTTGGAGGAGACCAAATAATGGAAATGGGGGATATATTCTAAATGTTCACTTAATAAATGCCACTAATGACTGCAGTTATTCCTATTTGTTATTTTCGAATGGCACAAATCTTTACAAAATGAGAATGTTAGCCCCTAATTAATGGTCACGCAAGCGATGCTATGATTAAGTGCTTCACAAACTGTGCAATAGTTTATCAATTAGTCAAACAAACTGTTCCATTACGTACGAGTAAACTTCCCTTTGTAAGAGCATAGTCCACACAGAACCCTCCATTTAAAAGCTATTTTTCTGCTTACCAGTATAGGGGGCTTATCGCTTAAGCAAAACAATAACATTCGAGTGCTTTAGTACCCCATATACGATGTACATATGTATACATACACATATGTACAGTCTGGGGTTATCTCGGAGAAGTATGACACGTCCTCAGCAGTACGAGAATACTACATAAGAATTTTGCGCTATTCGTAAACTAAAGATAAGATATGACCGATGACATCTAGTATTATAAAGGGGTTAGGGTACAACGTGCAGAAAAGGGGCATGACTTTTACAGATTTTGGATATTCTTTAACTTCACACAGAAAATCTTACGAATCGATAAAAATAGATATTTTGTATGTACATTTTCCCATTAGTAAAACTTGTTTAACTCGATTTCGAACATGTGTGTCAGGACAGAGAGAGTTCTTAGTTGTAAATTTCACTAAAAGTTCACGCTATTGACTCATATTTTTGTTGATATCTGAGCACATGATATACATAAACATGCAATACGCTTCGTAGACACTTTTGAGCGTAGTATCAGACCTCGCGGAACACGATAAATTATAAATGAATCTGTGTGCGTGTTTACTGACTATTCAAAGCGAAAATGTCGCACAGAGGAGAAGAATGAGGAGGAGCCTACCGATAAGAAGACACATTTATCAAATATAGAAAAAATTACCATTGATATGTAAAAAGAAACCACTTAAGACCATTATAATTGGCTTTAATATCATTTCAATGGAAGACTTATGAAAAAGGAAATTAAACTGAATGCTAAACACGAAGCAGTTTACAAACTGTATGTATGCATATTGTAGACAGATATTTTATTAAACTTGACCCGCTTTATCACAGTCGGTCACAGGTCCAACCCACGTGCGACCTTTTAGACAACACACAGGCAATCCATAAAATAAATAACATAATAAACAGCACTGAAAGCTCCACTAAAATTTGGGAAGACATTAATCAGTGGGTCGGAGCACAGAGAAACCAGCTGCCCAAAGAAAATCAAAAGCAAAAGTAAATTGTTCTAAAAGAATATTTTCACTTTATGGCTAAAGAAAATGATTTTAGGATGGGTAAAATGCAGTGAAATAACACAAAAATTGAATAAGGTACAGTAGTAGCTCGCAAAAGGGATTTACTTCGATCGATTTTCCACAGAAACTCCACTTATAAATTCAACTTAATGTTCCTTTGCGTCGAGCTTTCTGGAAAGTTCTGTTTTTAGAGGTTACCACTGTAGCAGGTATGCCTTTACAGTTTGATAGCTCTGGCCACAGGCCAAATGGGTGGCAGCCCCCAACAAGTACGGCATTTTCAGTGCACTCGCACTCGCCCAAAACAGCATGGGAGAGATAGGCTATTGGAAAGAATTAGACAGAGATGGAGATATATTTACATCAGATGGAGGCAGCTTCAACCATCCTCTCCCACGCTGGCACTCTCCTATACACCGTTATCAGAAAACACAAGACAGCTGTGAGAAGAACAGCAACAACACAGCTGTAGCTTTTGCATGTGTGTGCGTCTGTGCTTGCGGAATTCCTGTGAGTGTGTGGGGAGAGAATTTGTATGTATGCATGTGTGTCCGACTTATTTGTCTGCCCATTATTTCAATAACTAACAATGTTTTATTGTTGTTGCAAGAGTATCCAATATCCAATTGAATGCCGATTGTCGATTCTAATTGACTAATTGATTCAGGGGAGGTGCTGTGGGGGGAAAGCTTACCTATTAAATAGGTGTATCCGTATATCCATAAAAACAATGAACGTACATATGTTTGTATGTAAGTGTTGAATGCAGTTACGAAGCGGTTGGGGAAATCAAGAAAATTCAATACGGACACGCATTGCAATTTCGCACACTTAAAAGACACTTAAACACAGGCACATGTGTAGATATTGGAGGGGGAAAACAGCGACATTCAATACTTAATTATTCGATCAAGTACTTTAACTACTCAAAAACACTGTGCAGTTTGCAAAAACAATTAACAAAGTAGCCGTTAGGTATGATCGTGGGCAAGGGGGAAATTGATTTACACCTCTGAATGGGGGGGGGGGGATTATTGCGCTCCGCAAGATATTTATTTTGGAATTTCACAGACAACTATATAAATAAGTATACCGAACTATACATTTGATTGTGTTAATACAAATTTAACATTTAAACATATTTTATTTGTCCCGCAACCGAGCACGACCGAACCCGAACAAATTTAAAACTTATTAAACAATAGGGCTGGGAAACAAATCGATGGTTGCAAAATTAGTTTCGGTTTACCATCGATAGTATCGACCGTCAAGATTGTTCAATATAATAAAGACTCAATTTATGAAATTATTGGAAACTAATAGATTTGTTTCAGGACTTTTTAAAAATAAATGGATAATAGTTTTTGAAGCGTATTAACAGTATGTTAATTAGTCTCCACAATTATATATATTTATATCTTGCATCGATACTATCGGGGTTGCCACTACTGGTGTTTCCCTACCCTAATAAGCAATAGAACTTTAGTGTGACCGCGGCACCGTCTGTAAAATAAACCGTCTGACTACAGAAAAATGAACCGAGAAGAAACCATATTCCACAATTTTGATATTCGATTTTGGATTACAAGCTTTTTAGGACTCTCAGCACTAAACATATAATTTTATAAGATAAAAGAATACATTTCCTTGAAGATCTAGAACTAACCAGCTTTCATTAAGTTAGAATGCCTGCATACATTTGCGAAATACGCCATATGAAATGGCCACTAATCTTATATTTTCGGGAACCGTCTCCGCCAACACTTTTGGCACCTCGTTACAAATGCCGTTACACGAACTGTTACCGTTCTGTTCGATGCAAGCGAGACTAATTTTGTTTTCATATTTAACACAATAGTGAAAGAAATATATATATTTTATAAATATTCGAAATCAATGTTCATCCTATGAGCGAGCAGAATAGGACAATTGGTAAATACGAGTACATTAAAGATAAACTCTTGGAAATATCTCAAAGCTCTTGGAATAAAGTGCCAAGTGGTAAGTGTCTCCTTTTGTTTTTTTCGGGGCATTCTATCAAAATTTATTGTAGTTGTCAGATGTGTTCCATTTTATTCCCGGCCTGTGTGAACCTTTTGCCCATCTAACACAGCAAATATGCGTGAGTATTTATTCAAATTTCCTTGTCGTACCACCTCTAACGTGTTTTTCCCGCTAGCACCGACTCCCTGTGGCAAATGCACCAGCTGCCCTTGCGGCGTAAATGGTAGCATAGCGCCAACAGTCCAACAGGTGCGCGCCCAGCCACAGCAGGTGCGCTCCCCGCCACAGCAGGTGCGCTCCCCGCCACAGCAGGTGCGCTCTCCGCCAACGTCAGCGTCCCCGCCTGCTTCCCCGCAGACCCCACAACAAGCACGAGCGGATCTCTCGTACCTGCAGACAACACCGCCAGTGCAGCAACAATACCTGCCGCAGCCACAAACTCCACCACAACAGCAACATCAATACGAGCAGCCACTCTTTCAATCTACATTACTGCCTCAGGAGTCGGTGCAGCAGGAAGAAGTGAGATACCAACAGCCACCGCCACCTCTACCGCCACCGCAGACTCCACCAAACGCGACCAGAGGAGGCAGCTGTCAGGGGCACTGCCTAAGCCACGCAAGAGAAGGATCTGCACCGGCGCACTGTACGATACAGCGATACCCACCCCAAGCACAGTCATCACTATACCAGCCGGATCAGTCATCCCTGCAGGGATATGGCCAGCCACAGCCAGCAAGGCAAACATATCCCATGGCGCAGCCACCACAGCCGCCACAATATGCGGCAGTACAACAATCCCAACAGTATGCCGAGAGAAAACAATCGCAACAGTATGCCGGGGGACAACAGCCGCCACAATACGCCGGAGGACAACAACCTTCACAATATGCCCCAGGACAACAATCGCCACAGTATGCGGGGGGACAACAGCCGTCACAATTTGCCACAGGACAACAATCGCCACAATATGCCGGGGGGCAACAACCGGATGAGTATGCGCACGAGCAACCTCAACAGCCGCCGGCGCAGAAAAAGGAAGTTGCCAGTTGTGTGGCACCAATAACGAAGGTGCAAAGAAAAAAACCCAGCATGAGTTGCAGTTGCGTCAAGAACAGGACGCGCAATTCGAATGTTTCGAGTGGTGCCAGAAAGACCCGACTAGGTCCTGGAGGTATAGTGGAAGTGGAGGAAGAAGAGCCAGATCTGCCCATTGCGGATACCTATACTTGCACGCGTACAATTCGGTCTTCAGACCCTCGGGAAGTCGGTGGCCCCCTCGCACAGCAGGAACAGTTGCGTTGCAACTGTCGCGAGAAAAAGAAAGTTGCCTGCCACTGTAAGGCGCCGGTTAAGCCAGTCGCTCAGGAGAAGCCGGGTCAAGCCTCTCCGTCAACACGTCCGCCACCCACCCATGCTTTCGTGGGCTGCGGTCAGCCCTATGCAGGTCCATCGACCTACGATCGCTCGTCGCATAACAAATGCGGACATTGTTCCGCAAAGAAGAAGTGCGTTATTCAGTGATCGATGCGATGGCACATCAAGGTGGTCAATGGAACACATTTTCTAAATTTAAGTGCATTCAAATCTTTAGGGTTTTGTGGTCCAGTCTCGGCCTTTCTAAACCTTTTCAGCAAAACAAAATGCGAACAATAAACCAAATTGTATAGCAACAAAATCTCATCCAAGTCGTGAATTTCTTTACGCTAAGAAACTGCACTGCACCAGCTCCACCCACGTAGTGGTAGATTTACAAGGATAACCCAAAGGCTCCTGAAACGAAAAAACCGTACGAGAAAAGTGCCAAGTGGCAAGTGTCACATTTTTTGAATATTTAAAACAGTTTTTGTAGTCGTCTCACATGTGTTTTATTGTGCTCCCCGAGTTCCTTGATTTTCGTGGCTGGCCTTTGACCAACTGAGCCGAAATGGGCAGTGAGTATAGAAATGCATTTCCATTGTGTAACCCCAGTTAATGTGTGCAGAAACCAAACCCAACAAGTGCAAGCAGTGCCCCTGCGGTATGACCGGCAGTGTAACGATAATTACGAATGATGGAGCACAAGTACAACATTCTGAAGTGCAGCGGGCACCGCCGCCACCCCAGTGTCGTGTGTACCGCGGCCCACCACCTGGATACCCGGGACACTTGGAAGCAGAAAATCGCAATTCCGGGCCCCCTGCCAAACCTCGCTACCACTGCGGCCACTGCAAAACATCGGGCGGTAGCAAGTGCGTAGTTCAGTGATCGCTGATCAGCAGGCAGGAAGGAATCAGACATAGCAGGCGCTCGGAATGGAACACATTTGTTACATTCAAACCCATCTAAATTGTCAGTGCTCTATCCTTCAATATCCCAAATATTTTGAACATGCAAAAACAATAAACCTAACCCAAATGCTGTAGCCAACGGGCAAGTAGCATTCTATGGCGGCACAGAACAGAGTCCCACCCAATTTCAACATCAGATTTATTTTGCCAGGGAACCGCGTCGGCTTCAACCGTCAGCACCGCCGCCAGGATGGAGGAGCTCCTTGCTCGGGGCGCAGCCGTGATGTCTTTCACGGCAGATGTTTCCTTCAACGCACGAAAATAAAGCGATCCAAGGCGACACGAGAAGCTACCTACAATGATGGTGCTTGCGACTGTTGTCCGGCCTGTCCCCAGAAGCAGACTCAGACCCAGCCTCCCGCTCCGCCCCCGCCACCAGCTGTGCGGCCACCATCTATTCCATGGACTGCTCCCCAAACTTTCAAGGCTGACACTAGCTTCTGTCCCCCGGCGCTCCTGCCTCCAGAATCAGTTCAGTTCGGCCTGCCGTCGGCACCGCCAGTCTATGAGCTTCCACAGTGCTGCTGCATGCCGACGATGCCTCACAGAAGGCACCAGGCCCCGATGTGGCCAGTAACTGGGAAAGCCGTACCAAGAACTCCGGAGCGATCCTTTAACCATGGCCCGGGCTGTGGGTTCGGCAACGACAATGTCTACCTCATGCAATCGCCTACGCCGGCTTACATGAAGCCACAGATCACCTGCAAGCAGTCGCCTCCAATGTGCAGACGACCAGCAGCATCAGCTCCGAAACTCTGCGCCAGCCCAGGGGGAAGACCTCAGGGGAGATGCTTTAGCAATGGAACAGGCAGGCAGAACGGGCTAAGCGGTGGCAGAAAATGTCATCCTGATGCGTATCCAGTGCCTGTGTTGGCCAGAGAGATCGTCATGGATCCGTTGGGTCCAAGATGCGACTTCGGAGAAGCGCCGGAGGAAGCTTCAGCAGCTACCGGCACCAATGCCTGCCCTCCTTCCGTTCCACCAAACGAGTCATTGAGATCGTTGCAGCCTGTAGGGGAAGCTCTCAATGAGGCTATAGACGATCCTTGCGATCGATACTACCACCATCCGGGACCGTCCCGAAGAGCACCGACAACGGATCCAGTCGCTAACTTTGATCTGGATCGATTCGACAGGGATCAGCGCGGTGGCGTCGCACGTCGGAGAAATGTCAGCATACGAACAGCCATCGATTATGACTATGAACCCATTCCAGGCCATGAGAATCCACCACGCCCGCCAAAGCAAGGTTGTGCGCCACGGTCGCAGCCGCCTCCAGGACAAAATATCTCTTGCGCGTCAGATGAAACCTCCCAACCAAACGGCCTGTACCTCCGCAACCATCCACACCCAGCCACTGCTGCTAATTTTGGGCGTCGCCGAAATGTGACTGCGAGGCGTTGCATCGACTACGATGAATAACCCGAATCCATACCTCAATTCAGACCACTGGAATGACCAACAGAATCAGAACTTTTCAAATGTCCATTTCGTTGATAACACGCAAATGCAACTCTGCTGCATTAAAGCCAGAACCGTGTTACTCAACACTGCATTCTAAGTCATGAAATTCAGGCAGGCTTGTGGCACTAACCAAATACGAACCAATACTATTTGGTTAGTGCTTGTGGACAATTGAGTGATGATTCGAGTAAAAAGGCAGTTTTAAAGCTGAGAGTCCCAACTTGCTGGTAATATTAAACATGAGATTAAGGAAAATTTACGATTTACGGTATATTTGCAGTATATTTTGAAAATGAAAGGGTATATTTCGGAATATTTCCGGGGGTCTGTCGGTATATTTGATCGATAAATCCGCGGTCACACTGGACAAGACGCGTGTAAAAACACGCCAAATAATTTGTGTTCTTATATTTGCCGATTAATTGCTTAACTAAACTATGGATGAGGAGGATTACGGCAATGATGAGTGAGTATCAGAGAAATGTGTCAAAGATTCGAAACGGAGTTCTAAACATGGTCTTACAGCGTCGGTGGTGACGATTTCGATGATGTCGACGAGGATGTGGACGAAGACATTAATCCGGAGGAGGAGGCGGATAACATTGAGATTATTGCGCCCGGGGGAACAGGGGGCGGCGGTGTGCCCAAGTCGAAGCGTATTACCACAAAATACATGACGAAATACGAGCGCGCCCGCGTTCTGGGCACACGGGCCCTACAGATCGCAATGTGCGCACCCATCATGGTGGAGCTGGACGGCGAAACGGATCCCCTGCAGATCGCCATGAAGGAGCTGAAGCAGAAGAAGATACCCATCATCATTCGCCGCTATCTGCCCGATCATTCGTACGAGGACTGGAGCATCGACGAGCTAATCATGGTGGACAACTAGAGCGGGGTACAATAATAGCAATTAAAACTTTATTACATACAACAAATATACAACTTAAGACAAGCTGCTAGACTCGAATTAATCAACTCCAAGCGTAACCCTCGCCCCGCTGATAGCAGACGCGTTCCAGGAGGCCGACAGCATGCTGGCCAGTGCGACAGATGGAGCCCACCACGGCTGGCAGGAGGCCGCATTCGGAGAGATTCTGTTCGCCAAAGACCTGGTCGGCCGCGGTGCCTTCCTTGCTGTCCGCCTGAGGTGCTTCTGGCGACTCCAGCACTTTTTGCGAGGCCTTGGTAAAGGCCAGGGTATTGTTGCTGCTGGCCAGAGTGGAGCTGAACATCTGGCGCGTTTCGCAGAGAAGCTCCGCCACGCTGGGCAGGAATGTGGGCAGGATCAGGCCCTTGATGTCGATGCTGAAGTAGTCCACGCCATCGAGGCGAACCTTTTTCGAGCGCGGCACCAGGTGCTGCATGGTGGCCTTTGGGAAGGCGACTGGCGACAGTAGGGTGGGTGGCACTCCCGCCAGACGGCCCACATTACTGATGGCGCTCTTTGCGTTCAGCAAATAGCTGAAGAAGCCCTGGCACTCCACTCCATCAATGAGCAGCAGCGAGTTGTCGCTGAAATCCTCTCGCATCTCGGCTGCCTGCTGTTTTCTGGCGTGCGAGGACTGTATGCGTCGCAGTTCCCGCTCGTCGACACCCAAGCTCTCCAGCCAGGCCTCATCATCGTCGTCGTCTTCATCCTCGCCAGCAGGAGGAGGCGGAGGCATCGACGTCTCCTCTTGTGCATCCAACGTGGAGCTGCTGGTGCTTTCCTCCGTGAAGCTGGCATCGCCACCGCTTGCTTCGCTCTTCAGGGGCATGTTAAACTCAATTCCCTCCTGGCGCAGGGCAACTCTCATGCCACGCGTGGAGGGTGTGACCAGGGCATGGCTCTCGGGGCGGCCGCCAATTCCCGCCGCCCGGAACAGCACCGTGAACGAGTTGGCGCACACGTAAAAGTAGGGGCACTGCCGGGCACGCAACAGCTGGAAGAGTCCACGGAAGCTGTAGTCCCACTCCTCGGCAAGCGCCTTCCGCTCGCGCTCGCCGACCGTCACGCCGATGTTCTCCTTTGAGTTGCGCGGGAAGAGCGTCAGCCAGGGCAGATGCGGATGCTGCCAATAGTAGGTGCACTGATTGAACCGCGTGGCATCGGAGATGTCCAGCGTGCTCTCCGACTGCTGGGTGTCGATACAGCGCACGAAGCTGGTCAGCCCGCTGGCCAGCTGGGAGGTTTTCAACTGAACGGGCGGCAGCTCCGTGGGGCAGAAGAAGCGGGCGCGTGTCTTCAGGCACCAGTCCACAGGAAGATGCGCTGTGTGCTTCTGTTGGGCAGCCAGAGCGGCATCGTCCTCCTCCTCGGCGTATGGCTGCTGCAGCAGCTTGGCGAAGGCCTGGGCATCGAATTTCTGCAGCACAAGCTTGGCCGCCGGCGGACGAGTAGGCGTCTCTTGGACGAAGCAAGAGGAGGCCGTGACAGCAGGCGCGATCTGGACTTCGGCTTCAACTCTCAGCTTTTTCGCATCACCTGTCGATCTAAGAGATGTAAGAGGATATTAGGCTGATATACAAGGATCCAGGTGGACACTTACTTGGCGAAGGGATTTTTTCGTTTCTGCGCTAGTTTTGCCTCTAAAAGTTTGCTCTTGTCGGTCTCATCCAATTGCAGTGTTGGCCTTTTGCAATTGTTGTTGTTGCTCACACGTGCTGCCAATTGTTTCTTCTTTTGTTTAAGCCGTTGGAGCTTGATAAACTGAAACATTCCAAAAGGTTCATATTTGTCGTTTAGTTCCTGAGAGTTAAAACTTGCACTTGATCCTCACATCATCTGGTCGCGTCCATTTGGATGCTAGACTAGCCTCGCTGGACATGATGAAAATGTTTGAATAGTTCGGGAAATTAGTTAATTAACTACTCTACTTAAACATGAAAGAAAAATATGATACTAAAGTGTGCCTCGATTCCCGCGCAAATTTCCAGAGCAAAAACAAAAACAATTCAAGTCGCAAAAAACAGCTGACTATGTATCATCGATATATTAACCATCGATATATGGTTAAATATATCAATATTTATTCATTATAAAGCATTTAATTAACCGAAGTAAATTGTGCGGAGTTCGGACACTAACCATAGAGTATATAGACAATATCCATACAATGTCTACATAAGCCTATACAGCCTATAAACAAAAACAATTCAAGTCGCAAAAAACAGCTGACTATGTATCATCGATATATTAACCATCGATATATGGTTAAATATATCAATATTTATTCATTATAAAGCATTTAATTAACCGAAGCAAATTGTGCGGAGTTCGGACACTAACCATAGAGTATATAGACAATATCCATACAATGTCTACATAAGCCTATACAGTTCGTTCGAAACCAAAACGCCTTAGAAAATGCATTTGCATGGGCTAGACCCAACTCCCTGAAGCAACTGTAAATTCTTGCTGATTCTCGCTCGCTCGCCCACATGCCTCGTGCCGTGTGCGGCTCTGAGGAATGTGGCTGCTAAACATAATCGAGTTCTTTCGGAAGGTACCACATTCCTCGTCAGCCAACTTTAATTTTTCAATTAAAGAAAGTATATTACTCGCATGCGCATGAAAAAATGAAATTTGGACAAATGATTTCTAATTTGATACGCAAAAGGGGTGTGTCACATTACAGGGGCATTTCAAACAGGGGTCGAAAATCTGTGACATGTCCATATCTATCAGAGTGTGCGGCTCTGAGGAATGTGGCTGCTATACTCGTGAGTGAGCTGTTGCGGAAGACACCACACATCCTCTCCAGCGATCTATTATTTTCCAATTTATTTTCGCTGTCTTTTTAAGAAATCACTAACTATGTAGTGTTGAAACTTACATAAAGTATAAGTTTATATTAAACAAGTTATCCATGTTTCTTCGGCTGTTGTTGTCTGTAATTGGACATTTTGTAATTTTTTCCATGTGTTATCCAAAGATTATAGAATTTCCACCTTACGCGGAACTGGCTTAAAAGCAAAAAATGTTCTAGCTCAGCGAACACACCCATATTAGAATGTCTCTGCCCCAATTGGGCAGGGCTTATCAACATCAGAATTGAAAGTGTTGGAGTTTCTGCGAGTTTATTAAAACGTTAATTTAAGGCATAAATTGATTCTACTTTTTTTAGTCTCTCTCTTGTTACGTTGAATAAAGTTTAAGTCAGATTGCCATTGGCAATTGAAGCAATGGTGGCCTGAACCTCAATTTGTATGCTCCGACCGGCTGGGAGGTTTTTTCTTCCCAAGGAGTAGGCACAGTGTGCCACGTCACAAACTAATCACGCGATATTCTCTGATTCTTCCTCAGATTCTGGTGTATGCAAGCGGGACCAGGCTTCCACGGTTTATCTTGCTCACACTCTTTCTCATTTTTGGCTAGAATCATTGCCATATTTCTTGATTCTAACTTGGGGGTTGGGGCGGTATTTGAATTTTTTATGTTGTATGCTTATGTTTACGCTCCTCGTGGTCGCTGTAAGAAGCAGTATGAAACAAATACGAGCAAACGAAGTCTGTTAGGCTTACCTCCTGCAAGCAGCTTCTTTTCTATCTGAAATATTCGAATAACTCCCGCTTAAAACTGATATGTTGTATGCTTATGTTTACGCTCCTCGTGGTCGCTGTAAGAAGCAGTATGAAACAAATACGAGCAAACGAAGTCTGTTAGGCTTACCTCCTGCAAGCAGCTTCTTTTCTATCTGAAATATTCGAATAACTCCCGCTTAAAACTGAGTCACGTATTGAGGAAGTCGTTATATGTTGATAAATGTAATAAATAAATATTGATAAATATCACGAGTAGCTGGGATTTCAGAATCTGTCGCAGCACTGGTACGACACCCTCCATTAACCGCCCAATGCCTAATCATTCTCTCTCGCTCGTCCACATACCTCGTGCCGTGTGCGGCTCTGAGGAATGTGGCTGCTAAACATAATCGAGCTGTTTCGGAAGACACCAAGCTTCCTCCTCAGCGATCTTTAATTTCCTGTTAAGGAAAATATGCTAGATTGGACAGCTATTACCCTAATTACTAATTACTAGCTAATGAGAAGCGCCTTTGAGAAGCGCATTGGTTTCTTACAAGCACAATCTAATGCAAGAGGAAACAAAGTGGTGCTGTTGCTTATTTAAGATAAGCGTCTCTCGTTCCGGAAAATTCCATGCAAACTCCGCTTACATCGATTAACGAAACGGAACTTAACAAAAAAAACTATCCTAACATATTTTGTGTTGTTGTTTCTCTTCTATTTTATTTTATTTTAATTCATGTGTGAGGGGGGGGGGGGGGATTGACTCCGCTTACATCGATTAACGAAACGGAACTTAACATAAAAAACTATCCTAACATATTTTGTGTTGTTGTTTCTCTTCTATTTTATTTTATTTTAATTCATGTGTGACGACTTGTGTTTTGAAAATGTAAAGTCAAACGAAAATATATGTGATACGTGTGAATTGACTAAGCGTTCCGGGAATAAATATATAAAGTGCGAATGAGGCTGTGTATAATGTGTGTATGTGCGATGAGGCTTATTGGCGCCGGCTATTGTGTTTCGTATATCATTTTACGAATGGTGTTAATATATGTGGCTATGTGCGGTGTGTGTGTGTGATGGGTGTGTAAGGTGTTTTTTTTTTGTTTCTATTCAGTTTATTCCTTCTAATAACTTGCTTTAATAATACTACATTCTTACACTAGTGGGTATAATTATAATGAGGGACGTATTTGCGAGTGGGAGTGGGCGAACGGCGCGCGCGGTACGGCCGCAAAGCAATGCTTCGCATGCTCGAAGGCTCCTACTCCGTCTCCTGCTTACGCCTCCTCTCCAACACTCTCAGCGTTCGCATAACGCTCGAGGCGAACTCTGCGGCCGCTTGCCATGCCCTTGGCTCGGCCAGCATAATCGGCACCAAGATCTCGGGGGAGATCATGGCGCCTACTACTGCCTCCATGCGATGACGCTCGTGGTCAA